CTGTTTCTTACTGGGATCAAGTTATGTCTATCTCAAAATATCTGGTAAAATAGCCTTTACAAGAAGCTCTTTACACTCCTCATACATTAATCTTGAAGAAAATCTTATTACCTTCCATTATATTAATGGCATCTCATTCTACCCAAACCGAACAAAAAATACCGACATCATTATATAAGGGCCGTCTTGTTCAATCCAAGTCACACTTTCTGTAGTTTTGAGAGAAAACCCCAAAAGGATGATTTTTGGAGGAGAACAGGTATCAAAGAAAGGGTAATCAGATTCTAGATGTTCCCAGAATTAAATGAATGTGCGCAAGCAGAAGACAACAGTAAAAGCACCCAAGATGTGAAAAATCAGGACATTTCTTAACTAGATTCTGGCAGCATAACTTCAATGTTAGCATCAGTTGGTACATTCTCAATCGTAATGAAAAACGGCTTATGGACTTGTGTTAAAAGTCTGCCTGTACTTTCATCTGATATCAGATGAACATCAAATGCTTATCTCATACCATCCAGGGTTATTCCATGAAACATGGGTGTATGTACAGGTTGGTAGATTTAAAGAGGTACATTTTATCATTCATAACTCTCTTTAAACGTAACAGCGGTATTCAATCACTAACGGGTATACAGCACTTTCCTCATAAAAAGGGCCTCTTTATGGGCTACAGCGCATTAAAATGAGGAAATCCCTCTTCTACAGCTAGGTCGCTTCCCGCAGCTCTTTGCAGGAATCCCAAGCACATCTGAGTCCAGTTAGCCCTTTCAGGGTGGCAGTGCCCGTGTCCGAGCTGAGGGGGCAGCCAGGAAAGGCATCCTCTGTGCTGGCACCAGAGGGCAGCAGGAGACCAGCCTGAGCCCGGCCCGTCTAGCCGTTCTTCTGCCTTTCCTGTAGACGGGAGGATGTGGTACATGAGCCACTCTCAAGAGGGGTGCCACCCACGCATTTCCTCCATCCTAGTCATCTTCGTCAAGTGGCGTAATTCAGAGACAAATTATTTTGAAATTCCCTGAGTCATTTTCCTTCCCATATTTTGACCAGAGCATGGAAAAGATGATAGCCACGGATGCTGGGAAGCAGGAGAAGCCAGAGGGGTTCAGCACGTTTGCTTCTGCCCTGTGAATTCTCCTTCACCTTGCCCTTGCTCCCTCCGCTGTTCTGTGACTCAGCAGTCCCTCTCCTGCTCCTGTCATTCCCTCCCTCCCCACTTCCAAATCTACCTCCAGGGACCCTCCAGGAGCAACGCTAGTTCTCTCCAGCCAGTTCTCTCCAGCCGTGACCCAAAGCTGGGCGCTGCCTGGCGATTCTGAGAGTCCAGCCCAGCTGGACAGCACGTGGCTGGAGAAGTGGAAGTGGGACGGTACATGGGGATGTCCTTGGGAGACGGGAGGGAGAGCCGCAGACGGACAACAGCGTCTGAAAGAGGTCTCAGCCCACAGAAGGGGGAGGGCGTGGGAGACGTTCCAGAGGGGACCCTCCCTAGTTTGCTGGAGTAAAAGGAGAAGCGGGGAGAATACTCTCAAGCCTTGCCAGATTCTGTTAATGCGACCTTCCAGTAAAGACAGAGCTAATGCTCCTGGTCGTGCTTCTTGTCTGGACTACCTCACAGGGCTAACAGGACATCTTTCCAAAGACTAGGAGTCCCATGAGATCAATTTAATCTCAGCACTCACACTGCTGATGCATCTCCTTTTGGGGGATCCCAAACCCCACCAACCATGGTGACCCTTCCGAAGCCAGCTCCTTAATTTTAGATCCTGCATAAATGAAGTGGTTTACTTTTAAAAAACGGAGCTATAGTGGCCCTAATTAAAAATGCACAAACACTCATGCAAGTGGTGCAAAAATGTCACGATTTGGCAAAGTTCTCCGGAGGGGAAGGTGGCAGTCCTCACGGAAATACGCAGGTCGTCAATAAGGCCACGCAACTCCGGATGAAACCTGAAGGGGCCCCTGTCCGTTCCCCCCATTCAGCGCAGAGGCCCCCACATTCTGTCCCCCAGTTGCTCTGTGGGGGTGGCCAGCTAAGCAACCCCAACTGGCCCAGGAGCCCCCCGGAGCCCCCAAGGGTGGCTCTCCCCCCGACGGCCCTGGCTCTCTGCAGAGGCACCTCCCTGCTCTGGCACCACCACGAGATGTGGGGAGGCATCACTGGGACGGAAAGAGGAAATGGTAGGAGACACAGATACAGGAGGGGTGCATTTCAAGTGCTGAAACCCCAAGATGCAGAAAGGGAATAATGCCGGAGACCATCTGGAGGCGGGGTGGCGCGTTGCCCTTTCTCCTCGTCTCAAGGCCTCCTCGGTTTCTGCCCCGGCCCTTTCTGGGCTGAGCACCCAAAGGGCTACCACCATAGATGTTGGGGGGGAACAGCTGCGAGAACTGCCCGGCAACTTCAGGCAAAGCAGTCTCCCCTCAGTGAGATCAGCCACTCAGCAATCCCACCGGGCAACGGCTCGGGCTGATGTGGCCGGGCGCTTGGCTCGCCCCTCTGCTGAGAAGTTGAGTCTGCCTGGACTTCCAAAGCTGCCCCCATCGCCATCCCCGCTGTCCCCATCTGAGAGGCACTTCTCCATCTCTGCTTCCAAACCCCCACGGATGGGGGAAAGGCAGCATTCTCGCTCTGAGGCGATTTCCCCAGGAGAGGAGGCTCCGTTCTGCTTACTGAAAGTGGGTGAAAGCCTGGGGTTTGGCTGGCACAAGGGGCTCTTGTTGTTGTTTAGTCGTTAAGTCGTGTCCGACTCTTCGTGACCCCATGAACCATATTGCGTCAGGCCTTCCTGTCCTTCACT